CAAAATTTCAAGTTTGCTCACTTTGCACTTCATGCATTTCCTAAAAAATTTCCAACTTGCACTAGTCATAAATCTCTCAATTTTCATCTTTTGAAGGTGATCTTGGAATTTTTAGAAAGCTCAAGATGTCCTCTACAATATCTATTTTGATCATTTTTGCATTTGGAGAATTTATCTTGATGTAAGTTACCTTTAAAAAAAATGTCTTTTTGTTGACTTTTGAAATGACCTATAATATATGCGCTCATATCTCTCAAATAAAGCATATTTTGGACTTGAGCTTACATATACAAAGTTGTAGAGAATTTAATTCCATTTAAAATAGGCTTTGGTTGGGGAAAATTTGATGAAGCATGTGAAAGTTATGCTTGGTCAAAGTCCAGTTGACTTCTCCTAAGGAAACCCTAATTTGGCAACTTTTGACTTTTGATGATTTGAGGGTTTTCCTTGAGGAATCATGACCAACCATTGATCAAATGATGAATATCACTTAAAAATGTTGATATTGACAAAAAATATTGAAGTTTGATTGTATGTTAACCATAGTTGACTTTTACCCAATATAGTTGATTTTCAATCATCTGAGCCATTGACTGAGTGAACTTGTGATGCAAGACTTGAAACTTGATATGAGAATTTTTGAAAACCTATGGAGAATCATGGAACCCACTTGAGGCCTTTGAAACCAAATCTTCTTTGAGAAACTTAAAACCCTAGTTGTAGACCCATTGCTTAGGAGGGGTTTGACTGGTCAACTCTTGAGTAACCTTGAATACTTGAGACCCTTAGAAGAATGTTTGAAGAAAAATGGAAGGGAAAATTTTCGGGTACAACATGTTCCTTTCCCCGAGAGACGAACATATCGGGCAATTTTCAGTGTCATCGCGCGGAATTGCCCCTCGAAACATGATAACTCCTCAAAGCCGCTCAACTGTTCCTCTCCCCTCAAGGCGAACGCGCCGAGAATCACTTGTACTCCTCATGCAAAATCAACAAAGGTACACCCCCATTTCGCGAGCACATCTAAGTCATCACTCATCTGCCTAGAAGCAACAACTTAGGGAACTCTTGTTCTGGACTGGCTCAATAGCTAGAATTGACTCAATCCACTTCTACCCTTGGCACGAGCCAATAATACTGGCCTAGCATCCCTAGCTAACCACGCTCCAAGAAGCGCCACCAGCGATGCCTGGTATGTACATCTGACCAAGCCAACAGCTATCTCTCTTTCAGGCCGACACGAGTCGAGCAGACAACCAGGAAACGTCCACAACGCCACTCTGCTTGTAATCCTCCTTCTCCTCAGAACAAACGGCTAGTTATGGGCACGTCTGCCCATTTTGACTGAGTCCTGACAGTGACCTATTTTTGTGGACCCGCATATCTAGGCCCAAAAATAGGAATCAATGACCAAGAGTTGGGGCATTATATAAACCCTCACACATGTGAGGACCAGACATCTAATATTCAAACCTTAACCTTAATACTCTGCTCGTATATCTTTGCATCCATTTTCACTTGATCATTGGAGTGTCTTGCAGATACAACCCCCTTTTCCTCCTCAACTTTACAGTAAGCCAAATATCATCCTTCGGCTCATTTACAAGTTCTGATCAACCTGTAAGATCATTAATTATTATTCTTAGACCTACGTGGATATTCTAAGACCTATAATTTAAAATTTTATATATTTTTAATAATTGATTATTGTCATCCAAGTGGGAGAATGTTGGATTAACAATAATCAACTATTATAAATTATTATAATTTAAATTATAGGTCATAGAATATCCACGTAGGTCTAAGAATAATAATTACATATAGACATACCCTATTACGAGAGTAATTACATTTAATCATAAGTATCTTCACAATTCAATATCATACTCGATAGAAATATTGATATTATACTTGTACTTTCTTATTTATGATTGTAAGAGTGTGGAATGTTGGTGACAGAATAGCACAATATTATTGCATGTTAAAGAATTATTGTATATTTTCCAACAATAACAACCTAAACGTAAAATTCTGATGATTTTCGAGATTAAGAGAATATACATCTCGGTATAATAAAATAAGACTTCTTAGAATTATTGATTATTTTGAAGTCTTAGAATAATCTCGATATAAAATTGAGATTGTTTTTAGAGTTCCCAAATATATAACATTGTGTACACACTCCAATAATGTCACATATCATAAGGCTTATAAGCAATAATGTCACATATCATAAGGCTTATAAGATTTTCATTATAGCCTACTAGAATATAAATACTTTAATGATATAATACTCAATAGTGGGATACTTAATTGCTAGTGCAAAATTATGGGCAAAAGTGGTTGTACAATTTATCAATATTTTAAACAACTTAACAACTTATTTTACACATGAATATAGAAGATCTATTAACACACATATTATGCATTTAGAATTAAAGAGATTGTTAATTTTCACTTATAATTTATAATACAAAATCTCCTTATAACAAATATGATTCTTAAAAGAATTTTCATAAACAAAATAATCTTCACTTAAAAGAGTATGAAGATTATATAAAACAAAGTTATCATCATATGAGTGAGATTAAATTCATAGCATTTTAAATTACAAAATGGGATTATATGGACTATTTTAATAGCTCACTCAAAATTCAAAGTATTACAATTAAAGTCACACGCACTTGAGACATAATTAGGTTACACACAGCAGAAATAAAAGAGACTTTAATTTTAATTTTATTGAAGATACAACAAAATAGTCATAGAATTTCATATACAAATAAGACTATATTATCTTCAATATAAGTCTCTATAATAGACAAATGTTTATTAAATAAGTAATATTTGTTTCTTATTTTTATAAAATTGGCAATTTTTATAAAATTGACATGTTAGATTCTCCCACTTGATAGATAAAGATAGTTGATTTATCGATTTAGTAATTTTAATATAATCAAACAAATATTCAACTATATTCTCTATCACACAACGATCATGTCAAGTAACGTCGCACCGATAAGGTATGTCCGTCGCTTACATAATACTTAGAGAATTGAAATCTATTTTAATAAAAAATTTAAAATAAATGAGTAGATTTCATAGATTATTACATGTCTTTATAATAATTTATTATTTATCAAATAATAGTTTCAATAATATTAAATAAGAAATAATTTAAAAATATTATGTCACCAAAAAAATCTTAATATCGATAGGGTATTCGAATCATAATTTATGTAATTATAAATCACAAGTAAATTGAATAAAAACAAATTATTTTATTAATAACATATCGATAGAATATAACTATTATCAATATAATATTTATTATAATTAAAATGAATTTAATTATTTTACATATCAAAATTTATATAATTGTATCCATGATAGGTGAGTTACAATCATACAAATTAAAAATATTTATTTATTTAAAATATGAAAATTTATATAATTGGATCATAATAGGTGAAATTAGGATTATACAAATTAAGAGTTGATATTTAATTATTCAGAATCAAACTCTCAAAATAATAAGATTTCAAATATTATCATAAAATATTTTTTTAATAGAGTATAACAAGAAATCCATTTATGACATAAATAAAGAGTTTTAATTTTCAAATATTATGGAAAAATAATAACTTTATATAAATGTACATTTTATATTTTTAAAGGAGTATATATATTAGAAACAAATTTCTCCATATAATTTCTTATAAAATATTTAAAACAATAATTAAATTACGACTAACTTGACTAACTTGATCTTAATCTTTATCCGAAGAATATTAAACTTTGATAATTTATAAAATATCAGAGTGTCATTTCCAATAATTCATAAATTAACAATAAATTATAATATTATTTCTAAATAAAATCCATAGAAATTTTATTTACTAGCATATAATTAAAATCAATTTTATTAGCACATAAAAGAAAAACATAAATATCCAATAAACAAGGAATATACACAAAATATTATTATAATTAATTATCTAAATTAATATAATATAATTACAATATTAATGCCGGTATAAATTAATCCACTAATGTCACTATTTTATTTTATTTCATCACATTCAATAAGTGGATTTAGAACAACTTTAAAATTTCCTAAAAGTTATGCCATAAAATAGCACCGGCTTACCCGTCAACAAAAAATATAATTCACTCATTTAATTCTTGTGATTGATTATATAAAATTATTCTGAATAGAAATTAAATCATCATTTTATGTTAAAATGATTAAAAAAAACTGAGTTAACATTATTCAGCAGCAACAACAATAAAAAAAAAACTATTAGAATTTAATAGCCTGGCAAACTCCTCCAGTACTGGCAAGTGCAAGTGGATTTTTTCAGGAGAAATAATTATTATAATAATAAAACTAAACATTTTTAAAAGCTAAAATATTAAGAGTTAATAACTATTTTGTCACCCGTTATATAGGGTTAATTCCAACAACAACCCTGTAAAAAATATTCATATTTTATCTCTGTGATTTAAAGATTCTTTGTTGGCATGTTTAGTTTAATTGAGTTATACGTGACTTTATTTTTATTTATTTATTTATAAATTATTAAATGATGTAATTTTTTTAATTAGTTTAAGTAATTGAAATCAAAAGTTCTTCAATTCATTTCGTTCATCTCTTGAAAATTTAATTTAGAAAATTTTGTTCTTCATCGCCTCCTCCAAGGTAACGAAGCATCCATTGGCAACTTGTGAAGCTTTGTCAAGTACAATTGTCTTCTATTTTCACTAAATCAAACCACAATTGCCTCTATTATTCATGATTCTTAACACATGCATGCCTGTTATTTCCATTTGTAGGAATGACACTATTCAACTTAATCTTTCACCATGATGGTCAGTTTGTGCGAGAAAGCTTTGTTTTTTGCGGAGGAGGAACTAGTGGGCAAGATTCAGATACATGGTCCTACTACGAAGCTATGAGCGTAGTACTTGAGTGTGGATTTGACAGTAGTGGAATCTGAATGTGGAGGAAAATCGAAGGTATTGACGAAAGTTTCTTCCACGTGACTGAAGATGTTCACGTTACAGATATTGCCAATCATTCTATTTTGCACGATGGACATATTTGGCTTGAGTACATTGTTGGAGACAAGACAAAGAGGGCACCGAATCCAAATATAGTTGATGTTGGTGAAAAGAGTGATGATGTTGAAGATGAGGACTCTGTAGGGATAAGATTTAGGAACAACGAGGAAGAAAGAGTGAATGATGACAACGGAGGCTTTCTGGTTGTGGAGGTTGATAGACCTGATGAAGGTAATAGGGTTGAAATCTCAGGTAAGAAACTTAGGTACAAGTTAAGAGCTAACAATGATGCATCAACTGTAAGGTCTCCCAAAAAACTCAAGTTGTGTGTTCCTTTAAGGGTCATTGGTGGCAAACCTAGTTCATCAAAGGTTTTAGAGCAAGATGAAATTATGAAAGTGAAGAGTTGGGTAGTTGCTGAATCGGTAAAACAACAAGCAAAAAGTAAAGTATTATTTTATCGGGTGATATAGTTTATATCGTATCGTCTCCACAGGGATTAGTGCTACTGAATAATCATTCAAAAATTTCACGCGTTTATGAGTTTGGGGTTGAATGTGTTTAAAGTGTAAGGTAAGGGAAAAATTTATCAACAGAAAATAAATACATTCAATGCAAAGGAGAAATCTATCAGGCATGAATTTACACTATTCGTCACAAATTTAAACCTATTGATCAGTTTCACTCAACCTACTCTACTCGTCAAAATCATCACGGACACCACGAGATGTACCCATAACGAAGGTTATGTCTAACGCTAAGTCGCGAGACCAACGGTATTACTCTATCGGCAATGTCTTGCGCGCTACAACAACACGGAGGCATTAAGCTTTAGCACCCAAAATGAATATTAGCTATAAATCTATCTCTAGAATCTAGAAACTAATAGATATTCATCCTTAATTAAGATTTTTGAGGTATATGTATATAATAACTCAAATCCAAACATAAAGCAAAAAGATCAAAGATGATATCAAGATTGATTTGTAAAGTAAGCTTTATACAACACCATGATCAACAAATATACATATGTTCAAAGTAAATATACAAACATACCCAACAAATAGAGAAATGAATAAAGAAGAAATGGAGAAAAACCAAACATCTCACGGGTTGTCAGCGCCGATTGATGTGAAATATGACTTCGAATCATCAAGATGCAAACTCCAATGTTGTTTTCTAGCTTCTCTAGATCAAAAAATTAAGGTTTGATGAATTGGGACCAAAAATACCCAACCATAACCTAAAAAATGTGTTTTTTCACCTAAATATGCATTTTTGTCTGTCCCGCATCGCTCAGCGACCAAAAGGCATCGCCTGGTGCTCAAAACTGGATTTTTTCCCATGCTTCTGGTCGCCCCAGCGTCGCCCGGCGAGCTCGGGGCGACAACCGACAATAAGTTGAAAAACCAGCACATTTTCAGCCATAACTTGAGAATCGTAACTCCGATTTGCGCACGGTCGGAAGCGTTGGAAAGCTTACATGATAACGCAACATATACACTATAACGTAAACTATATAAAATATAGGAAAAAGTTGAGGTTTATCGACGAAAAGCAAACAAAATAAGCCGATGAGTGATAATTATTCACACTCAAATTCATAAAAAATTAGCACTCATCAAACTCTCCTCAAATTAAAATATTGTTTGTCCTCAAACAAAGTCAAATAACTCAACGAAACAAAAGTATTACCAAAAATCACGAATCAACAAGTTTTGAAAACAGAAAAAAAAAAGTATGGTTCAAATAAAAAACATACAGGCAAAGTAAACTTACCACTATCCTACAATGACAACATGTAAACGAAACAAATCTTAAGTACAAAAATCATACTAAACATTCTAAAACAAAACATGTTCAATCATGAATCACGGATAATCAGTAGATTAAGAACACACAAATGTGAAGAATTTTGACACTCATCCAACAATCTTGAAAGTAATATATTAAATTATGAATTCATCCAAAAACTCATATTGAAAACACAAAAGCAAGAATCACAAGGGATTTAAGGGTTGTAATGTGGTTTGGTTAACAAACAAGGGATAAGTCCTAAAGTTAATCGAAACAAAAACTTACCGAAACCTAAGGGAGTGATCAACTCACAAAAGTTCAAACACAAAATTTCAATCAAACCTTTTTCTTTCATCCCCAATTTTTCACATAAATCACAATACTTATTAACACAACATTATTCCATACTCTTTTTGTTTTTCTTTTTCAAAATTTTTCTCTTTTTTCTTTCTTTTTCTTTTCTTTCTTTTTCACTTTTTATTTTATTTTCTTTTTTACAACCTCGTAGTAATACACACAAGAAAAAACAAACAATTTTCTCCCAACTTGAATTCAACCAACATTAAAGTGAAATACTCCCTACTTTCTAAGGCAAAGAAAAAATTTAAACTATAAATCATACTTGAGAGTTGAAGAAAACAAAGAATCAACATTCATTCAAAAAGTAAAACCAAACACTCATAGGAAAGCATTAAGTTCAAAAACAACATGGATATTGACAAAAAGGCTCAAAGGGGATACTAATGATCACACACTTACAAGGTGAATATACTATTTTGCCAGGATAGTTGTGCTAAAAATAAAACAAAATGCCTTGATCACTTTCATGCTTCCATAAAATCAATATAAAAAAAATATTAAACATAATAAAATCTACTTAAAACAAGAACTGTGGCCTCAGCATCTATGAACAATGAAAAGCTTCCTCACATTTAGGAGTAAAAAGGGAACTAAAGTGATTCAAGTCATGAGCAAGTAATGCAAAAAGAATGAATGGTATAGTAATTATACAAATTAAAAGTTTTCTAAACATGTTATGTCATAGAAAGCGATAAATGAGTATCTGGCGTGTACCAACTTCAGAAACTATCATGACCATACATCCGCAAGTTGAAAAAGTTAACTTGGAAAATCACTACTTGCAACTTCAAACCAAATGACAAAGATGTTAATCCAAATAAATTTACAAAAACAAATGGTTGAAAGTGAATTAAACAAGTTAAAAAGTGAAGATTTGAGAATTTTTAGAACTGGTCTGATTTCAACTTGTTTAACCAATTCACCATACTACCTAAACTAAAACACTAGAAAACAATAAAAACATGCTTGTTTTACGTCGTAAGCTCGACATCTGTTATTTACAAACCAACATGTTACTTCGAATAAGCCAAATTCTTTCACTCCCACCTTTTCTCTCGTCTCTTCGAGCTCTAACCGGAACTACACATCTAACCACACTTTTGGCAAACGTGAAAAGAAACAAATATATACACTATATGCACAAGTATGAAAAACATGTAAAATTCACAAATATGGTAAACATATACAAGTATAAATATAAACAAGTTTTTATTTACACGTTATAGACAATATAGACATTATGTACAAAACTCCCAAACAAAGAAACTATCGCATTGCAATCTAATAAAACACCAATACCCGACAGCGGCACCATTTTGTTGAAGCCGTAAAGCGGCAAGCAAAATGTAAAGTATTACTTTATCGGGTGATATAAGTTATATCATATCGTCTCCATAGGGATTAGTGCTAGTGAGTAACTATTCGACAATTTCACGCGTTTATGAGTTTGGGGTTGAATGGGTTTAAAGTGTAAGGTAAGGGAAAAAGTTATCTACAGAAAATAAATACATTCAATAGAAAAGAGAAATCTATCAGGCATGAATTTACACTACTCATCACAAACTTAAACCAATTGATCAATTGCACTCAACCTACTCTACTCGTCAAAATCATCACGGACACCACGAGATGTACCCAAAACAAAGGTTATGTCTAACGCCAAGTCGCGAGACCAACCATATTACTCTATCGGTAATGTCTTGTGCGCTACAACAACACAAAGGCATTAAGCTTTAGCACCTAAAGTTAATATTAGTTCTAAATATATCTCTAGAATCTAGAAACTAATATTTATCCATCCCTAATCAAGATTTGTGAGGTATATGTCTATAACAACTCAAATCCAAACATAAAGCAAAAAGATCAAAGAAGACACAAAGATTTATTTGTAAAGCGAGCTTTATACAACACCGTGATCAACAAATATACATATGTTCAAAATAAATATACAAACATACCCAACAAATAGAGAAATACATAGAGAGGAAATGGAGAAAAACCAAACATCTCACAGATTGTCAGCGCCAATTGATGAGAAATTCGACTACGAATCATCAAGATGCAAGCTCCAATGTTATTTTCTAGCTTCTCTAGACCAAAAAATAGAGGTTTGATGAATTGGGACCAAAAACACCCAACCATAACCTGTAAAATGTGGTTTTCACCTAAATATGCATTTTTGTCAGGCCCGCATTGCCTGACGATCAAAAAGCATCACCTGGCGCTTAAAACTGCATTTTTTTCCATGCTTCTGGTCTCCCCAGCATCACCTGACGAGCTTCGGGCGACAACCGATAGTAAGTTGAAAAACCAACACATTTTCATCCATAACTTGAGAATTGTAACTCCGATTTACGCACGGTCGGAAGCGTTGGAAAACTTATTCAATGATCTATCTAACAATGTCTAAATATCAATGCTTGAATACCTAAAAAAATAAGATAAAATCAATTAAAATCAATGATATATATACACGATAACGCAATATATACTCTATAACATAAACTATACAAAATGTACGCAAAAGTTGAGGTTTATTAATGAAAAATAAACAAAATAAGTCGATGAGTGTTAATTATTCACACTCAAATTCACAACAATTTAGCACTCATCAGTAGCTCTGATTCAGATGTTAGTGACAACAAAAGAATGCCCAAGTATGAGAAGTTTATAGGGGATTTTCTCAACAAAGAGTATAAGTTCAAACTCGGTATGGAGTTTAACTCTTTTGTTGAATTTAAGGATGCTATAAGAGAATGTTCTGTTCTAAATGGTAGAGAGATTAGATTTGTGAAAAATGAAAGTAATAGGGTTAGGGTAGAATGTAGGGGTAAATGTTATTTTTTAGCCCTTTGTAGTAAAATTGGTGACAAACACACTTTTCAAATAAAGAGTTTGGTGGGGACCCATACATGTGATACGGTTTTGAATAAAAAGTCAGCAAACTCAAAGTGGGTGTCTAAGGTTGTGGTAGAAAAGAGGAAGTGTAGTGGCAAGGTAAAAGTTTCAGATCTAATGGCAGAACTAAGTAAATATTCAGTTGGGATTTATAAGGGAATGGAATGGAGGGCCAAACACATAGCTGAAGAAATTATTGAAGGTGACTCATGTAGACAATATTCTATGTTATATAGTTATGTTGCGGAACTTAAGAAATAAAATGATGGAAATACTGTGAAGATCAATATGGAGAAGCCAATTCCAACAATTCTCCCAAGGTTTGGTAGTTTCTATTTTTATTTTGATGGCTACAAGAAAGGGTTTCTCCATGGTTGTAGACCATTTATTGGTGTAGATGGTTGCCACCTGAAGACACATTATGGTGGACAACTACTTATTGTTGTGGACAGGGATCCAAATGATCAGTACTTTGCTCTAGCATTTGGTGTTGTGGAGACAGAGACAAAGGAAAGCTGGAGGTGGTTCTTACAACTGCTTATGGAAGATATTGGGCATCACAGAAGATATGTATTCATATTTTACCAACACAAGGTATAAATAACCTTAATGAGTCTTTCAATAGTACCATATTGCAGGCTAGAGATAAACCAATTATCATTATGTGTGAATGGATTAGGATTTATCTCATGAATAGGGTAGTTGTTAGTTTAACCAATTTTGACAAATGGAAACATAAGATAATGCATATGCCTAGGAAAATAATGGACAAAGAGGTTGTAATGAGTGATAATTGGATTCCTACTTGGTGTCAAAATATGGTTTGGTAGGTTAACCACACATTTGATGGTCATCAATCCATTGTTGATCTTAGTAAAAAAAACAAGTACATGTTGTTTTTGGGAACTTGTAGGCATTCCATGTAGGCATGCCATAGTTGCCATGAGTTATCAGAAATTAGATCCAGAAACATTTGTGGATGAATGTTACAGTAGGGAAATATATACTAAGTGATACTCATATAGTGTGAGTCCCACTAATGGAATGGATATGTGGCCTAATGTTGATGTTGAGGATATGCTTCCACCTATATTTAAGAAAGGTTCAGGTAGACCAAGGAAACTTAGGATTAGATAACATGATGAAAATGGATCTAGGATGAGAAGGCTTGGTGTTAATTACAAGTGTACTAAGTGTGACAGTATTAGACATAACTCAATAAAATATCAATAAAGAACAAAATCCTACTTCTTTAAAGAGAAAGGTGCGTCCATTATTTGTTTATGTTTCACTTGTGAAATGCTGTTTAAATTTTATCCGTGACACGTTGTTTATGTTTTTGATGTCTTAGAGAAAGGTACCAAGGAAAGTGCCTGAAATAAGCAATGTTGGTGCCTCTGGAAATGACCAACAGAATGCCAATGCAGATGAGCAATAACCTGCCAATGCAGATGAGGAACTTGCTGCCAATGCAAATGAGGAAGTTGTTGACCCTATAGTGGACTATTTTGATGGTGGAATTGATGCACAAGTTAAAGCATTGGTGGCCTCAGTAGAAGCTGAATACCAAGAAACTCAGGTATCTCAGATAGTGAATCCAACACCTACAAACAAGTCTCTAAAAAATAAAAATAAAAAGCAAGTGGGATCTAAGAATAAATGAAAACAATTTAGCCCTTTTTATCTTGAATGTAATGCATGACAATGTATTTTATATGGTATTTTGATTGTAGTTGTATGGTATATTGATTGTACTTGTATTTGGTATTTTAATTAGAGGTTGTATTTTGAATGTATGGTACTTTGTATGTACTGGTATTTCTTATGACATTAAATGTAGACCAAGTTCTGTTTAACAGGTCCATTCCAATGGTTATTGCCAATTTCGTATGACAGTAAAATGTATGTTTACCAATTATATGGTTATTACCAATTATACCAATTATATGAGCAAAATAGACTGTAATATAGTTCAAACATATGGATCTCATTGCATTCACATTTAGATAATACAAATAGTACAACACCATGGGTATAACACATATTTTTTCCATAACAGAACTAACTCTGCATGTGTACAACACATTCTACCCAGTACTAAATATAATAGAATAAAAAATCTAAGATGCAATAAGAAGGTAAGTGAGGGTCTTAATGGTCTTCTGATCATTTGCAGACTTCATTTTTAGTTTCTCAATCTTCTTCTTATGCATTGTCTTCCCAGACTCATGCACGAAATTCTTCCCAAACTCTACTCCACAATTCCTCATAAACTCCATCATCTTTTCACTTTCAATGCAACCTCCATCATACATTGGTTCATCATGTTTTCCACTGTCAAGTTCATCATCCCATTGAAATAGATGACAATCATCATCGTTTTGGAAAATAGATGAAATGTATGAAGATTAAAAAACAAATTACGGAAAACTATTAATATACATCACCATTAAATTATATATATGAACAATGTAATACGGTGGGATAACTGAGTTGGTGTTTTGCGTTTGATTGCAAATGTTGCGGATAGCAAGAGTCGCCATCGAGTTTTCTTTTATCTAATAAAGAAAAGGGTGAAAAGAACATGAAAGACCTTTTGAGAATTTTCTTGAGTTCGGGGGGTAGGTTATGAAAAGGGAAGGTATTAGCATCCTTTTCATCCGTAATTATCTACGGGCTCTTAATTGCTAGCTCACTTTGAAATGCTTTGTGTTTGTGTAAGTTTGAAAATATTTTGAAAACGCCTTGGTTTGATAAACTTTGCAATGATTCTCGTATCGTTGAGAATGTATACAAAGTGTTGGTTTTGAAAATATTTGTTTGAAAATGAGTATTTTGAAAGTGTTTTGAAGATGCCAATGTAAGACGATTTTGTAATGATTCTTGTATCATTGAGAATGTATACAAAATGTTTGTTTGAAAAGTATTTTGAAAGTGTGAAGTGTGGAAGTGGTTTTTTTTATAAGCAAGAAATTACGAGAAATCTACCTACTCAAAAAGTCTTTATTCTTTTCCTCCTCCTTTAGATAGTGCTACTTCACCATTTATTGGTAGAGAGCCTTATCATTGGATGTGAGGGACAGGCGCGGGTCATCGTACAGTCATATAAGGCAACTTGTGGGATACTTTAGCAATTTTCATAAGGGACTAAGATCTTTTATCGAAGGCAACATCGGAGGGTCATCGAGGGACTAAGATATTTTTTAATCGAGGGTCTTTGCTAAAGCGTCTCATATTCGAGGGACGTGACTATTTTTCCGAGGCAACAAGTGAGGTTATCCTAGAGGTGCACGTGTGCAAAGTGTTTTAATTTCAATTAATTTATCTTGGAGTTATGGTTATCTAACAGTTGATTTTAAATCTTGTCATACGATCCTATTAGCTAAACAATTATATATATCCTACATAAAGTATAAGTGCGGAAAGTAAAGTCATACGCAATTACAGGGCCTTGGAGCAGTTACATGATAAGAAAAAAGACGCGGAAAATAAATCTACGCTATTACATTAAAGAGGGTGTCCTATACACTTGACTAAAAGAATAACCGACAAAAGATGAATGAAAGTGTTAGAAAAAAGATGTTTAAAACCTTAAAATTCTATGTTTAAAACCCTAAGATAATTTAATAAATCATTAATTTAATTCTAAACTAAATCATATTTACTACTCCTAAATGATACTAAAAGATCTAAAATTATTTAAGTAATAGCCAAATAAAAACGTAAACAAACAAAAATTATAAAACAAAAGAAAAGAAAGGAATTACTTGTTATTTCTAATAAAATGCAACTGCTAATGAAAAAAAGTTTTTTATTTTAAAAGATCCAAATCAATTGAAACCAAGTAAACAAATTAAGCCAATAATAAGAATGAACTAATCTACTAGTATTAATTACACACAAAAAAAAATAATGTCATGAGTGAGGAAAGAATAATCACGTGTAATTCAACTTTTCAATTTTGAAAAAGAATAATATTAACCCCTAATTAATAGTGACTCCTATTCTAAATCTAGACTCTAAAAAAAATCAAAAGAAAATTAAATGCAAAAATTAATTTGAACAATTCATCCCTATGCTTCAATCGACACCTTCCCCAAAAAAACTGGATCCAATAAAACAATGCCACGTAACAGACTATTTTAATATAAAAAATGAAAACAAAAGAATATATTATTAGCATTCACGTGAGTAGGGGGTGTTTGCGGTGCGGTTTGGGCGGTTTTGAAGAAAAAAATTATCCGAACCGCAAGAGAAAAAACATGCGGTTCGGTTGGATTTTAAAAATAAATCCGAACCAAACCAAACCAAATTAATGCGGTTTGGATTGGTTCGGTTGGTTCGGTTTTTTATAAAAAAAATTATTAAGTCATACATACAAATATAGAGGAAAATATAATTTTGTGTTTAATTGTTCATACATTACCATAAAAAAATTTATAATTGTCAAAATAAGTTTATAATTTGATACATAAAATTGCGTATTATAATTTTATCTAAATCTAAAGAATGATATAAACAATATTGCATTCTTAAATAAATATTATACAAAGAATATGATAAAATATATTTTGTGAAAATAATATTTATAAATAAATAATATTTTATTTTTTTATGATTTGTAAATTAAAATGAATATAATACAAAATATGATAAAATATACACATAATATATGTTGATTTCTCTAAAGAATTAAAAAATATATATTGGTTAGTAAGATTTTATAACATAATGCGGTTTTGTTTGGTTTTGTTTGGTTTGTAAAATACAAACCGCAAATCGAACCGAACCGTGCGGTTCCGCGAGAAAATGACCCAAACACATCCGAACCAAATGCGGTTTTTTGCGGTTTCGGTTTGGTTCGATTTGGTTTTGCGGTTTTCTATTGGGCCGGTTTGGTTTTGAACACCCCTACACGTGAGAGAGAGAGAGAGAGAGAGAGAGAGAGAGAGAGAGAGAGAGAGAGAGAGAGTGAGACCCATAATTTTCATCTTTATTTTTAGCTCTCTATCTTCTTACTACCTCCTGTTCATCTTGTGTTATTTCAAAAAAATTACAACAAAACTTAACTCATGGTTTATCAATATTTCCTAAATAAACAAAACAACATCCACGAAATCGTAGCAACAAATAAGCCAGAGAAGCAAATAATATAAGACCACAACAACAATGATTCTAAAAGTAGAATACGGATAAAAGGGAAAACAAAATTACCGAATTGGAGTTCCTCCAACGGGTCTTCGAACTTCTCAGGTAATTTGACTCTTTCTCCTCCTTCTTGCTTCTGAATTTTTGAGCTGGTTCTGTTGTGTTGCGGTTCAGTGTTGTGGTTACAAATCCGTTGAGTTGTTGTTGTATTGATTTACCAGTGAAGCTTGAATGTTGTATTGAGTTGTTAGTGGAAGAAAATTAATGGCGGAGGTATGGATTTACAACTACAGTAACAAGTTAAGGAAGGTGATGAATAATTTTTGCAGCAACTTTGTTACAATTTTCTCCTAATTTCTTCCTATTTTTTGTGATTTCTGCTTGGTTTGTGTTGAACAAACTTCCTTTTTCTGCCCCTTACAACACTGTTAAAGCTTGCATTTATAATGAAGAGTCATGGAAATTGGGGGGAACTTTTGAGGATTTGAAATTTATTTTGATGATGTGTTTTGTTACTTTCTTGATGCAGGTTTGGTGTGGGTGTATTTTGGGAAATTTTACAGTTTGTACAAAATGCTTATGGACTGTTGTATGTAGGTTTTGCAGGATGGTTTTTCTATGTATATGGCAGCAACAACATGGCTGTTTTTATGTATGTTGTTTTGGCTATTTTGATGTAAGGCTTAGGATTATTTTGATAGTTTTTTGTGGACTGTTTTGATAGGTTTTGTAGCAAAGTTTTGGACATCAACGTGCAAAATTTTTGTTTGGTCATGAAGAACTTGGTAGCTTGAAGAGGACATCAAAGCTTTACAAATTAGGATTTAGGAAACTTTGTATTTTTCTTGTATTCGGAACCAAACTTGTAACTTTTGAAATTTTTATTAGAAAATTGATATGAGAAACTTGAATCATGAATGAATTTGAAGAATGGTATTTGAAACTTGCTCCTAAAGACACTTTGAATGAATCTTGAATGAAACAAATGATTTTTATGAATGACAATGCTTGACTCTTGATAAATCTTTGAATTAGGCCAAGATAATTGTTTGGAATTTATTATGATAGTGCATCAATTTAAATAGGAACTTGAATGAAATTATTTGGAATACTTGATTCCATGAACTCATAATCAAATTAAATCAACAAATGCCCATGTGTACCATTTTTGAATCTTGACAAAACCATACACAAAACCCTAATTAGGAAGGAGGAGATAGATGAAACTGCGCCTTGTAGCCTAACGAATCACTAACTTTAATTCTTCTAATTAAAATCAACTTGTAATTGAAGTAAACAAGTATTTGATGAGAACCAAAATTATATCAACCAAAATTAATTTCAACTTGTACTTCCACCCACCATAATCAACAATGTCTTCATGAACTGAAATTAGAAGCAAAACTTTTTTTAAGTCAAGAATTGACCTATAACGTTTCGATAAGTTTCAAAACCTTCTAAGCATAATTTGACTCTGATCCTTATAGAAAACTTATAGATGAAATTCCTTATGAAAATGTGCAAAAATGATCGTCTCAAGATCTTGAAATTGAGGAAATTATGACTCTTGGAAGTCAGGCGACAATTACTTGAGATTAAGTCAAATTCCAGAAAGTGACTTCTAAAATATTCAAACTTTTGGTGATCTTACACACATAATTAGCTCTTGACTTTTAAAGTTAAGTTGGAGATAATGTCAAGGAGAGTCATATGCAAAAAGAACCACTAAAAATATTGAATAATGAAGAATTTATGATTGTTTTAACTTGAACTTTCAAACGTCGACTTTTTGCCTAATACAGTTGATTTTCAGTCATCTGAACCATTTCCTGAGCAAAATTGGGACGCAAGGCATGAAATTTTATATGAGCATTCTTGATTACATATAAAGCAACATGAAAGTCACTTGAGACCGTAGAAACCCAATATCACTTGAGAAATACAAAACCCTAGTTGTGGACCCATTGCTTAAGAGGAGAATTTGTCTGATTAATCCTTGAGCCATCTTGAGCATTTGAGAACCCTAGGAGAATATCTTGAATGAAAAAAATGGGAGGGAAAATTTTGGGGTACAACAACTGTCCATGTTCAATCTTCTTATACCTGAAGAGTTAGATTGGCATGTTCGCCATTCTTGACTTGAAGGTAGAAGATGATTGTACACTTAAGTGCCTAGAAATTTGCACTCGCCTGTACACAAAGTAACATTGCTGGTTGATTATACTGGGAATGGGCTTACAAATGCCATTTGGAGAGGTGACGAAGATTTGTCGGAGATGGTCTTATAGATGCCATCCAGAATAGTGACAGAATATTATCGGAGATGGGCTTATAGATGCCATCCAAAGTAACTGTTGATAGAGGCATCATAATGATTCTACGCTTGACTGTATCTGAAGATGTATCAGAATAAATCTACTTTTGATTTAAACTGAGCCCAAAAAAGTCTACTGGGAGAAGTATCGGAATAAACTTATGGTCGATTTAATCTGAGCCAGAAGCTAATTATGCTTATCTTCAACTAGGAGAAGTACCAGACTAAATCTTTGGTCGATTTCATCTGAGCCAGCAGAAGCTTAAAAGAAATGTTCGTCATGTAGATAGCCACCCCGTCCTGTTTTGGGAATTGATCTTTAATCAATTTGTTGGTAAACCCATCCTGTTTCGGGAGTTCATATCATTGGTGATAAAGATAGTCGCCCCGTCATGTTCTGGGAATTGATCTTTATCTGACCAAAGAGAAAGATATTTTCCCCGTCTTGTTTCGGGAGTTAATCATAAATTTGTTCATGTAGATAGTCGCCCCGTCTTGTCTCGGGAATTGATCTACAATCGGTTTTTTACAGATAGTTGCCTTGTCTTGCTTTAGGAATTAATTTGTGGCTGGTCATTCAGATAGTTTCCCCGTCTTGTTTCGGGAATTAATCTGGAACATGCTTTTGGCCGTTGAGATAGTTACCCTTTCTTGTTTCAGGAATTAATCTCTGACCTGGTCTCATAGATAGTTGCCTCGTCTTATTTCAGGAATTAATCTTGGACTTGTTTTTTGTCGTTTGAGATAGTTGCCCTGTCTTGTTTCAAGAATTAATCACTGACCTGGTCTCATAGATATTTTCCCCATCTTATTTTTGGAATTAATCTTGGACCTGTTTGAAAATTGTTGATGATATTGATCTGTTGATTGTCTTTCCTGAAAAGGTAAAGAGTTAGATGTATGTAATGTCATAATGTATGAAATGCATTGTGTAACGATGTTCTCAAAATTAATGAGACTGTGTTATATGTGTGTCGTATGCATATGCTATGACGTATGAATGTGAAATGTTGTTGAAGTGTATTTGTAAACCCGCGCAGTATCTTTGTCTGGGAAAATAAATCCCTGACTATTGTTAGGGATGAAGAGTATGTGTATCTTCAATATTGTCTAGAATGCTTTTGCTGGGGATTCCTGCTTATTTGTTTTAAGGAAACTCTGCAGGGGATGTATTGATTTCCTGTGTGGGGAGTAGGGTTTAGGAACATTGGTCGTCCGTTGTTCTACTGGGGAGTTTAATTCTTATATACCCTGATTGGGGATAAAAGAGATGGATAATCTTCCGAATCATTTAGGGAAGATAATTCTTATATACCCTGACTGGGGATAAAAGAGATGGATAACCTTCCGACTTGTATGAGGAGGATAAAGTTAACCGGTATTTGGTTGAATTCCGGGTTTTGCAGCAACTTTCTGGGGATAGTGATGACTTTACTAGGGAGAAGAATTTTGTTAGTGATTCGTAGTATTCTGAGGAATAGACTCAAGCTGGGGAATTTGTAGTCTGTTGGAGAAATAAACCATGTCGGAGAAATAAACCCTGTTGATGGAGAAGTTCTATGCTGAGGAAACCAACTCTCTTGGGAAAATTGAATTTTGCTAAAGATAAGGACTATGTAAGGTTTATTTTTTAGTTTTAGAGGACCAAACTCAGTCGGGGAAGATAATTTCCGTGAAGCGTACTTAATGGAACTCCGTAGGGAAATTGCAGGGAATGTATCCTTTATTGGGGATGAATTTGTGAAGATTACTCCATGGGGATAATCTCATAGAAGTGACTCTGTGGGGGTTTATGGACAGCTTGAACATCATCCTAGCTCCAAGAATCATGAGTAAATGCTTATTCTTGTTTTTAGGCATATATTTGTTAACAGTTAATCATGTTCATATGCATATGTTCATTAAATTTAGTCATTGGACGTTCTTGCAAACAAAACAGAAAAACAAAAAGTTTGAACTTCAAGGTGTATTTGTATTGATAATTTTCCTATAAACAGGTGTTTTTGTACAAAGAGACATAAATCCTAGTAAGAGGAAATTGTCATGAAATGAAAAGAGTATAAAGTGAAAACAAATTGTATAGCTATTTGGAAGTGATCTCGTTGGGTTCCAGTTTAGCTATTGCCCATATGTCTTCGAACATCTCATCCCTTGCTGTCAGAAGAAGTTGATTGAACTGATCTTGTACCATTTAAACTTTTGACCTTGGTAATAAAGCTGGTTGTAAGTGAATCGACGGGACATAGTCGTACACTTTAATGCCTAATTTTTTTCCTGGACCGCCCTTTCGGGTTTTCATTCCATCGGGATACCCTTTTTTCCCAAGCCTCCCTTTTAGGTTTTCGACTTGCCTAGTGTATACTCTTTTGTATATATCCCTAATTTTTGCCCAAACCATTTTAGTTCGTCGGGATGCCCTTATTTTTGCCTAGGCCAGTCAACCTAGCGGGTCATTTTTATGCATAGCATTTTTGACTATGTTCGTGTTCACCGGGTGTGGAAATCTTCACCGTCCATGATGGTCAGTATCATAGCACCGCCCGAGAATACTTTCTTGACAAAAAATGGTACCTCGTAGGTGGGAGTCCATTTCCCCTGGGATCGCCTTGTGGTAGAATGATGCGCTTTATTACCAAGTCCCCAGCCTGATATACCCGATGCTTGATCTTTTTGTTGAAAGCCTTGATCATACGTTTCTGGTACATCCGACCATGACAGATAGCAGCCAGCCTCTTTTTGTCAATCAAATTCAACTGATCCAACCTAGTTTGAATCCATCTGTCTTCGTCTAAGTCTGCTTCTCTCATAATCCTTAGAGAAGGAATCTGAACTTCGACAAGCAGGACAGTTTCCATGTCATAGACCAAAGAGAATGGGGTTGCCCCAGTTGATGTTTGCGCCGAAGTACGATATCCATGAAGAGTAAATGGTAACATCTCATGCCATTCTTTGTAAGTCACCATCATCTTTTGCATAATATTCTTTATATTCTTGTCGGCAGCTTCCACTGTGCCATTCATCTTAGGTCTGTATTGAGAGGAGTTATGATGCTTGATCTTGAACTTCATGCAAAGTTTAGTGATCATGGTATTTTTGAGGTTGGTACCATTGTTAGTGATGATTCTCTCAGGGATACCATACAAACAGATAAGGTTATGCTTGATGAAACGAGCTACGAAGTTCTTGGTAACTGAGGCAAATGAAGTCGCTTCAACCCATTTGGTGAAGTAGTCAATGGCAACGAGAATGAAGCGATGTCCGTTAGAGGCGGTAGGCTTGATTTCTTCGATCATATCAATTCCCCACATTTCAAATGGCCAAGGAGAAGTCATGTCATTCATAGGAATTGGAGGCACATGAACCTTATCAGCATAGATCTGGCACTTATGACAAGTCCTCAAGTGGTGGTGACAATCAGTTTCCATGGTCGACCAATAGTAACCAGCTCTCAGAATCTTCTTGGCCATAGTGTGTCCACTG